ATAATTAACTTAATAAAATTTTAGAACTAACAAAAACAAACTTTTCAACTAACTTGTTTTTAATTCTTCTGGCTTTGGGCAAGTAATATTGCAAAAAGGTAAATCAACATAGAGTGCAATTTCTTTATACAACTCTTCTTGCCTCTTAATAGAAAGTGGCTTAGTATTGATTGTAGGAGGTAGAATATTTAAATCAAAAGAAAATGAATGCATTGTAAAAGTTTTGTAATTATCTTTAAGACTATCTTTGTAAAAAATGACTTCTGGGTATTGCGAAGTAAATTAAAAGTGATGATATTTTTGAATGTTAGGTAACTTTTTAAATGCTTGAAAGTAAATTTTAAAATCATAATAATAAAACCCTTCTCCATTTAAATAATGCTGTGCAATATTAAGATTAACTATTGTAGAATGATTAACAATTGATACTATATCATCTACAGTATTCACTTTACTTTTTCAGTAAAGAATTTTAATTAAACCAAAACAGCCATCGCAGATGAATTTGGTATGTCCAGGTATCATAAAGTTTAATTCAATTTCATTATATATACTATAGTCAATTAACTATGAATAAAAAAATAATAAATAATTGTTCTTATTTTGACCAACACAGTTATTGCACGTGACAACTAATTTTTTTTCCTTATGATTATACTTATGAATTGCATGCCAAACCAAGTTTAGAGTGCAATTTATACCTTTTCCTTGCTTACTATCATCAGGCATTTTAGCTTCGTCAATTATATAATTAGTTTGTTGTGCATTAGAAAAGTTACCTGTATTACAAACACCAAATAAGTGTACTTTTTGAGGACTTTTAAAATATAATGCTCCTACTTGCTGTGGCAAATAAGGTATTTTTATATTTTGGGCCTAGTCATATATGATATGAGCAATTTCTTTAAATGTTTTAAATAGTACTTGAGATTTAACTGTAAGTTTATTGTGTTTACTATCTTCAACTGCCTTTACAATATTATTATTATAGTAGTCATATTCTTTCTGCACACGACTTAAATATGCTAAATAATTCTCAGTAAGTTCTAATTTTTTTTCATGTTGAGTTGCATATTGAATATCCATTTTCATCATCTCACAAGTTTCACACAAATCAGACTTCAGAGATATAAATTAAAGTGACAGTATCAAAGCTTTCCAGACATTAGTAAAAGTTGATTCAGCAATAACACAAATATCATTTCTATACTCATCTTTAAAAGCCTGTATATAATCACAGTATACTGAAGCATAGTTGTAACTGGTAGGAAGAAACACAATTGGCATAGAGATTTCTTTAAAATGTCATCCAGATGAGGGCATACCATGTATATCTGAATAGCTCTTTAAAAACTTAAATATATCACATGCTACATTATAATTTACTTCAACATGCTTCATATTTTTGGAGCTCTATCTATATTTCTATGTATATGTTCTTCAAGACTATGTTCTTGTAAATGTTTTATAATTGATTCTGAATATTTATGACTAACTCCTACAAAAGCCAAATATGTATCATAGCAAACTTGAATACTATTATTATAATAATAACAAAAACATGAATATTTTTATCTTCACTTTTTTGAAAAGCTATAAGCTGACCTTTAATAACCATATCCCGTATATTTTTATCAGAACTTTCAAATTCAGCATGACATATAAGAAACTGTTCATAACTGATTTGATTAAAGTAGGTTTGTTTAGAATGATATGAACATTTTTTTTTTCAAAAAATTTTTTAATTGTAACTTTCAGATTATCATATACTTTATCTTTAATATAGTTTTTAGGAACTTCTACAAATTCAAATTTATTTAACTTATCTAAGTTAATATTATCATTAATATCAAGAATTTTTTTATTATAGTCATTATCTGATTCAGAACTCTCTTCGGAATCTGAATACTCAATAAAAAACATATTTTCCAAATTTTTTAAAGTAGTCAAAATGACTTTATTTGTTTTTTGATTGTTAAAACATAAATTGTATTCCATTCTTATTGTTAAAACTAAAAGCAAAATATGAAAAAATTATTTTATTATTGCTATATTTTACAGTACATGCGCATATTACATATAGTATTAGTATCAGCTTTCACTACTTGCATAATGATACTTATGCATTAATTAATCTATGCATTTAACAGGTTTGTACAAGAATTTACAACTGTAAGTAGCCTGGTATTACTACATAGAAATATATGCAATATCAGATATCGAAATAGTATAATGGTAAATCATGCATAAGAATGATAAGAATATATCAGGTATATATATAGATATACGAACGTATGTATGTAGATCGATTTTTTAACAAAATATATACACAAATAAAAACCCAAATTTTTATATTTTTTTACTAACTTATTATAATAAAAAAAATTACTTTTATAAAAGTTTAGATCCTTAAGAAAATAACTATTATAAAATATCAAATTTGATTAGTTAGACATATCACCATTTTTTGCTGTAGGACCCCCCATATGAGGTTTCATATGTAGTTCCTTTACAGTTTGTAATTATATGAAAAGTGTACAACAAGCTATACATACAACTTTAGTCATTGTCTAATTTAAGTAGTTCATTGCACAAGTAATAGACTATCTAATTAGTTTTATACTATGCTACTATACCTATAACCTACCTGTGAGTTACCTATTTAAACATTCTGTTCAACTAACTCATACTATTTTTTTTTTTTTTTTTTTTTATTTTTTTACTTTATACAAATGCTATCAGCTAACTTTTATTAATTTTATAAATTTCAGAAGTGATATATATAGTGAGAGTACAACTAGCCACACGTACAATTTTAGGTTGTCTATTTTAAGTAGTCCAACCAAAGGTTCTATACTAGCTGCTATACCTGAAATCTCTTAGAAGATTCTCTATTTAAACTCTCTGGTCCTATCCTACTTATCGCAAGTATTACTCTTTATAGTTAACTTAAACCCCATGCTACTCTACATCAGAAGGCACCCAAGCTAACATTAGTTGCAACTTTACTATTATAAGCTCAGGTCTTATCTAAATAAGTCCCACTTCAATACCCTCTAACAGATAGGTATTACAGTACCCAACTATGCTATGCTATATCTCTATTCTAGCTTGTATATACCCTTATTCAATATTAATACAAACCCAGTTCCAGCTGTAGCCTTCTACCAGTTTAGACTTCTGTGTCTTTCTGAATGTTTTATGAAGAAGATCCTTCCAATCTAGTTAGTTGCCAAGCCAAGTTGGTGTTGCCATAACATCCAATATTATGGACTTACTCACACCTACTCGATTTATATCTTTATACTCAGAAATCTTTGTTAGATCAAGCGTTAACTAGCATGACTGTCAAAATTCGTACTTTTTCATCTAACTCGGAATTTCTACTATGCAGGTTCTCTGTTTATAGATCCTATCTCGATTTATTCGTGTAATGCAACTCAAACATTCTGTCACACTTCCAATATCCAAACAATATTGGTGCAATATAATTTACAGGGTTACAACCTCAGAAACAGACAAAGTTTGCCGTAAGTTGGATACAAGGTTTGAGTAATTATTCAAAGTGTCGACAGAAGGATTTGAACTCCAAACCTATTACATAGCAGTCCGACAACCTATCCACTACACTAGATCACCAGACCTTAAACTCATACTATTACAAACTAATGTTACTATAACACTTAACTACTTAAGCTAGCTAGCTTATTACAGATCAATTTACTAACTTTAGTTTAGGTTCTCTTAAGATGCATATTATTTAATATATTATAAGTATGCAGAGTTCTAGTTAACCTCAAAGTATATCTACTAGAGCAGTCTGTGCTAATTTCATAAATTCATCTAGCTTAAACCTTTGTGATATTTGTACAACTCTAGTTTCTACTATGACTCTTCACCAGTTTTCTGTTTGTTGATTTCTTAGAATATTTTATAAGGTAGATCTTTCTAATCTAGTTAGCTATTAAGTCAAGTTGGTATTACTAATTCTTCTTGTAGAATAAACTTACTTGTATCTTACTCAATCTATATTTTTGAAGTAACAGTTTCTTTTTTGAATCAAGTATTAGCTAGTATAATTATCATTATTTTTTAATTTATAGATTATTCTAGGCAAATTTGCTTAGAAATTTATTTAATAATTAGTAATATAAGTTGATATCAAACTCTTGAACTAATCTAGTTATCAAAATTAGCTAGCCTAGTTAACTAAGCTAACTCTCTTAGAGAAGTGCTATTTATTATATAATTTTTATTATACATATATAGATTAGCTAGTGATCATATCTATATATATAACTAATTAAAATTAAGCTAGAGGTAATTACATTATATATAGATAGAGTAGGTTATTAAGTAAAAAATATTATATAATAAATAGTATATCTCTTATCAAAAAAATTTTTTAGCTAACATTTTTTTTTAATAGTAAGCGCACTTAATCTGCAAATCCCTTGTACTAAATTTTCCCAAAAATTTTTTTAATAAAACTAAATTTCTTCAAAATTTTATTAAGTAAACTAAGCAAGTACTTTTAAGTAAACTTGCTCTACACATAATTTTACACTCTAGCGGCCTAGTTTTATAACTCTTGCTTTCTTTTAAGCAAAGTTATATTCAAAAAACTAAATGCAACGAAATTTTAAATTTTCTCTAAAACTAGCTTCTAAACCTCTCTTGTGCTCTTAAGTAAAGTTGTTGGCCAGCCTTTTCCGGTCATAACAA